TTTACTTGTATTTTATTGAGGATGCAAAAACTTTGTGTGGATCATAGCAAATGATGGTTAATATTGTGAAGAATGGGTATTACAGAACACTTAATTGTGCTCATGAGGAATCTGTACAGACAAGAGGCAGTCCTTCAAACACAACAAGGGGGCACTGACTGGTTTAAAATGAAGAAAGATGTGCTCTAGGGTTGTGTTCTTTTACCATTCTTACTCAATCTGTATGCTGAGCAAACATTCCAGCTCCAGATTTGTTGGATTGTAGGAAGCTGGGTTATATGAAGAATGTGGCATCAGGACAAGAGGAAGACTCATTAACAAACTGTGATATGCAAATGATGCAAGCTTGTTTCCTAAAAGTGAAGAGAACTTAAAATATTTACTGATGAAAATCGAGGACTGCAGAAAACCTCAATGTGCAATCCATACAGAAGAAACAAAAATCTTCCCAATTGGATAAATAGCATTATAATATACCTAGAAAAGATTGAAGTTGCCAGAGACTTCATTTTGCTTGGATCCACAATCCATACTCATGGAATCAGTAGTCAAGAAATTGAACTTCTCATTGTGTTAGGCAAATTTGCTTCTAAAGACTTCTTTAAAGTTTTAAAGAGCAAAAAAATCAGCCCAAGACTTGGTATTTCAATTGCCTCATATGCATGTGAAAGCTGGACAATGAATAAGGAAGACCAGAGAAGAACTGATGTATTTGAATTATGGTGTTAGCGAAGAATATTGACCATCCCGTGGATTGTCAGAAGAACAAAGAGAATACAAATCTGTCTTGGAAGAACAGCTGGAAGCAAGGGTGGTGAGATATCATGTCTTATTCTTTGGACATGTTGTCAGGAGGCATCAGTCCTTGGAGAACATCATACTTGGTGAAGTAGAGGGTCAGTGAAAGAGGAAGACCTCAATGAGATGGTTGACACAGTGGTAGTAACAACAGGCTTACACATAATTGAGAGGATGGCACAGGACAGGGCAGTGTTTCGTTCTCTTGTGCATAGGGTCATTGTGAGTTGGAACCGACTCAATGACATATAACAACAACAGTAAAAAATGTCTGCCTTAGAGCTGAGGACATGGAGAGAGGGAGCAGCTGGGGACTCTAGACTCATGGAAAAAAAAGGCTGAGTGCTGGCAGCCAGGAGGCAGGCTTGTAGAATGTGACCTTTGGCTGTTTAAATTATTATATATTCCTAAGTGTTTTTGTGTATGTTCCCTCCAAAAAACAAAAAAACCAACAACAAAACCCCAGAGGGAATGAATAGAACCAAATATTGTTGAATGATGATGAGCAGAGGGAACTGTAATCATTGTAATGAAGTGATGGTGTAAAGCTGATGTTCTCCCATGTAAATTATCACTCAATTCACAATAAAAACTTAAAAAAAGTTAAATGGATAAAAACAACTATCTGCCTTAAGTATTATGCATTTACTGCATTTAGCATAGTGGATTATGAGCTGGGCTGCTAACCACAATGTCAGTTATAATCTACCCGTCACTCTGGGGGAGAAAGAAGAGCTTTTCTGCTCCCATAAAGATCTGCAGTCTTGGAAACCCTAGACAGGGTTGCTATGAATCAGAACCAACTCAGTGGCACACCACCAAGAATTATCTTCTAGATGGGGTCAAGTTGATTGACAACAGCCACTTGAAAGAGTTGACCCTACAGGACAGAGGACTGCCCCCAGAATATTCAAGGCTGTAGACCTTAACAGAAACAGACTGAGCACCACATCTTTCCCCTGGGAGTGGCTGGTGAGCCGTACCATCAGGGCCTCTCTTCAGATAGGAACCTTAATGGGCAGTGAATTTGTGTTGCTGGGGAAGGAGAGTGAAAATGGTTGTACAGCTCAAAGGAATGTAAACAATGTCACTAAAAGGTACTTGTAGAAACTGTTGAATTGATGTTTTACTGTGCATAATTTCAACAACAACAAAATAGGTAAGAGAGAATGGTCCACTTTGACCTCCTCTGATTGAAATAACGACCTCTTTCACTTACCAGCAGCCCAGCTAAGTCTGGTATGACGGAGGTTTTATAACAATTTTATTATCATACTGTTTGTAGTTCAGAGTGGATGCTGCTCTTTATACTGAGAGAATAGTGTGCAAACTCACAAGTTAAGGTTAGTTGTTAAGTGCTGTGGAGTTGGTTCCAACTCATAGTGACCGTGTATAGGGTTTCTGAAGAGCAACTGGTGAGTTGGAACTGCCGCCCTTTGGTTCAAACCAACTTTGCAGTCCAGCACATTAATCCACAGTGCCGTATCAGGACTCCACCAGCTAAAATACCCACCATCAAATGAAGCAATGTATCTTGGGTCCTGGTGTGCTGCCATAGGGTAAGCACTGGACTAATTGGTAACTAGAAGGTTGACAGTCTACCAGTTGCTCTTGGAAACCCTAGTCAGCGTCTCTGTGAGTCAGAACCGACTCAACAGCACATAACTATAGTTTCTAGAAAGCCAGTATGTTTTCCAGAACAAATCACTTAAGCCCAAGCAGAAATTTTAAGTGTTTTTAATTTAAAAAAATAACAAAGTCAAAGGAATTTGTACGGATATAGGAAAAGTCTCTTTTTGAATTATTACATGAAAGCTTTTGGTGAAATAGGTCCACACCCAAAACCAAACCCACTGCCACTGAGCTGAATTCACAGCCCTACTCACAGTGACTATATAGAGTTGTTGGTAGAGTACCTTTGAGTTGGCTCTGACTCATAATGACCCTGTATAGGGTTTCTGAGGAGTAGCTGGTGGGTTTGAACCACAGACCTTGTAGTTAGCAGTCCAGTGCTTATCCAACAGTACCACACCAGGACTCTATATGTAAGATATGGTTTCCAAATGTTTATGAGAGCAGCCAGCCTTATCTTTCTCCCACATAGTGGCTAGTAGTTTTGAAGTATCCTTTGGTTAGTAGCCCAATGTCTACCCCCCAGGTTAGTAGTTGCTGCTAAGTGCCGTCGAGTTGGTTCTCTCTCATAGCTGCCTGTATAGGGTATCTGGGGATCAGCTGGTGATTTGAACTGCCAATCTTGCAGTTAGCAGTCCAGTGCTTATCCTACAACACTACACCAAGACTAGTAAAATCAACTCTTTTTAATCTTGGTGAGAAACGTTCATTCAAAAAAATAGTGTTTTTTCCACTAAAATGCATTCTAGCTGTAAGAGAATGCTTTTAAAAGGAGTTTTCATATGTATATTTAAATAAGGCAATGATTTACTATTTCAGATTATTTCAAACAAAATTGTTGTGGAATAAGACTATGCATTGAAGTACAGACAACTTCAGTGTGCAGCTTCAGGCCAATCCGGTCAAGAAATCACCTGTCACACTGCCAGTAAACCAGACGGCCCCTCAGGCTCCTTGTAGTCTCAAATTCCTCCAGTGGATGATGGCTTCCTCGCTCTCCTCTTCTTTCTCCAGTTTGCCTCCACTTGCTCAGCTTCACGTTGAAGGATTAGACCACATTGTTTCCTAACAGCTGTAATTTGTCCAACCTCATTCGGTAGTTCTCTCCACAATATAACGAGTGTGAACAAATTCCATTGTGTGACTCTGTACCACAGATTTTCAAAAATCCATTAAAATAGCTAGTTAAGTTCTTTCCAGATCCTAACTCTCCTAAGTAGTGCTACTGTGAACATTCTTTACCCAGTATCTGTGTACTGGTGCACACATTTCTGTTGATAATGCTGGCTCACAGAGAATGCCTACTTTCAACTTTAGTAGAGATAATGCTGAATTCTTCCAAAGCCGTTATACCAATCTGCACAGGAGTTTTACATCCTCAATGTTTGGGATTGAAACCGACTGAAACATGGTAGTCATTCTGCACACTGATGTTCATTCTGGTACAGCTCTCTTGATGGTTGAATTTGTATTTCCCTGTGTTCTAGTGGCTTGAGCACCTTTTGTTCTTTTATGAAGTGTTTGGTTCAAGTGTATTGCTCATTTTTCTTATGGATAGCCTATACTCTCTGGACAATGGAAACCACTCAAGCTTTGGAGAAAGGAGGGCTGACGAGGGGCATGCTGGCTTGTCTGAGATGCTCATGTGAACTCTTCACACAGTTTGGTGACCACCTGATTCGGGACACACTAACACACCAGGGTAATTAAAAAAAAAAAAAAAAAAAGGTGGAAGTATGATACTGAGAAAGCATCTGTAATTCCAAAAACAGTGATTACCAAACATCTGCTTAAAGCTCATCAGAGGGTCTGATGAAGAAAACAAGGTCAGAGACAATTAGCAGGTGGCAGGTACCTACCTGATTTCTCTCAGCCGCCAGGAGAGGAGCCTCTCAAACAGAAGCAGAGGCCCCAGAGCAGTGGTGTGAGCACCTCCTCTAAGACAGACCAGCTCAGGGGCTGTGTGGCACTCCGGAATGTATCCTGGGCTCGAAGGCTCCAGGCCTTGAGGTTAATCCTGTCTCAGACCAGAGTGATGTTAGGGCAAAGTGCATCTCTCTGGGACTTGTTTCTCTTCTTTTAAAATTGGGGAGTGGCTGTAACTCTGGAAGACTGACTTATCACTAGCCCCAAACTCCAAACCCACTGCCATCAAATCTATCTGACTCATGGCGACCCCGTGTGTCACAGAACAGAACTGTGCTCCACAGGGCTTTCTTGGCTGTGATCTTCATGGCAGCAGATCTCCAGGTCTTCCTTCAGTGGAGCTGTGGAGATTCTAACCGTCAACCTTTAGGTTAGCAGCCTATTGCAAATTGCTTTCACCACCCAGGTTCCAACTTATTATTAATTCATCAAATTCTAAAGCTAACTAGAGAAGGCCCCAGAATTGCAAAGAAAACAACATCATGGACACATTCCACTGTAAGACCTTTGTTAAGTACTCTCAAGTTGGCTCCAACTCCTAGGGCCCCTGTATAGGGTTTCTGAGGCTATAAATCCTTTTGAGAGCAGAAAGCCTCATCTTTCCATTTTAAGACCATAAGGACTAGAAATCACAAGGTAGCCAGTTTTTACATTGATAAATATTTTTATTCTAATATTACAGTAATAATCCAAGAGCAATTTTTCTTTGAAAAGTCAACTTTGTTAAAACAAAACTTGTTAAATATCTCTTATCAAACAAAATATATTCTTTACAATCCTCCCCCCACAAGGGTCAGAACCAGGGAGCAGAGAGAAGATTTTTGTGGGTTTTTTTTTTTTTTTTAAGCCTACTACGATTTGATATTGCTAAAAAAATCAGAATGAGTTGTCAAGGTCTCAGAAGCAGTGATTAATTAACTTTTGAAAGCTCTACCAGATACTCGGACATGAAGTCGTGAATCCAGATATCAGTATCTGGCAGTGATGTGTCCACTAAATAAACCACTACTTTCCGGTCCCAAGGGTTAGTGTTTTCAGTAACCGTCTGCACCAGAGCCACCAGAGGTCTCTTCTCCACATGATTGCGAAACACCATCGAAGCCTCTTCAGACCATTGGTTGCACCTCACACCTGGGACAGAGAGAGGGCATATAACTGAAGGGTCCGACCAGCCTTTCTTAGATCTATTACTGTAGAAAATGACTTGTTTTAATTGCTGAACAATAATAAAACAGTCCATCTCATAGTTCTTCTTCTCCGAATGGGATCGCTTCTGGAGATTTTATTTACAGATACAAGTTTCATTTGATATTTAATGCTGCATTATAAAATGGAATAAAGAAAGAATGGAAATTAAATTTCCATTACAATCAGGAATGGTTTGCTTGTTTCTTTCTTAAGGGGAGGCTCTTAATAGAGCAATGATTCAGCAACAGCTAAGTAGCCAGGACAAACAACATGACACTATCAACAATTTTGCAGTGTGAGTTCAAACTCCACGGAAATTACCTGCCAGCTGAGCTGTAACTGCTTGGAAGGGCAGCTTTCGGAACATGTCCACGAGGGGCTGTACTTTTCTGATGTTGACCAATTCATGCTTGCCGTAGTCCAGCTCATAGACAGATACAAGTCCATTGGTCAGAATTCCTTTTAAAAGCACTCTGTACCATCTAGGTGTGCAGTGGATTAAAAAGGAAAATAAAACAGAGTTAACAGCTGCTTTGAGGCAAAGTAACATTTTAGGATGAAAAAGAACAGCTTAATGTGAATGATTATATAGTATCACAGAACTTTTCCACGACGTTGTGGTTTTTTTTTTTTTTTGAAGGTTACTATTCTCTATTTTGCTATGGTTCATTTGATGAAATTGTTTACTTAATGCATCTCACAGAGTTAGTGAAGGAGTCATGCACATAAAGCGCCAAGCGCATTTTAAGCAGGGTGAAACAAATGTCATAGACCACTATCAGGACATGGCCAGGGGACCCTTCATTCTAAACTGGGAGACAGAAAAGGACTACGTTTGGTTATGGTAAGTGTTTGGAGATGGAAAGAGGAAAGAGCAAGCAGTACCCATCGTCCAAGCTAAAGAATTGCACAAGAAGAAAAGCACAGAAGACCAGAGAGGGCAAGGCGGTTGGGAACACGGCACGCACTCCCATACAGCTAGAAGACAGACTGTATGGAGGAAGGAAGAAAAAAGCCAGGTTGGGACAGTAGACTGGGGAGAGATTACAAATGGTTGTGAATGCCAAGTTGACCATTTTAATTACACCAAAGACATTATAAAACAAAAGTTCAAAATCGCATTACTTAGAATCAAGAATATGAAAGAGTAGGAGGATATGGGGGAAAAGGGGTTGGGGTTGTGTATTTAGGGGTGGGGGTGGGGGGGAGGGGGGACAGGAGGGAGGAAGAAAGGAACATGGTTTCAGATCCAGGGTTCCAAATGCCAGGAAGAAATTCTGTTTTCTCCTCAGGGCCCACCTCAACACCATCAAAATGACAAAAGCCTAGACTTTAGATCTGAAGGGACATTTTACAGTTGCATTGTCTTGATGACACTGTTAAAGAATGTTGTCACACTAAGAAAAGAAAGATTGTTCGTACTGTCTAAAAGGAAAGTGTCCAAGGAGCAGTCTGCTCCTGAAGGGTATGAGTCCGGCTCTACCTCGGATGGCAGGCCCAAGTCCACTGGAATGCTCACAGCAAGCCCTTAACGGCAACACATCACCAGACTCACCAGATTCTACAGCCAGAGCACAACTACCTGAGGATGGGACTAGGACACCCACATCACTACTGTAGGGTAAACACAGGGAGGGACTGACAAAGAGGCTGATGTTAATACTGCATGTGACTGGGGGCTTCGGGAACTCCAGAAACCTTCAGACAAGCCACAGGAGCATGAAGACGCAGCAAGGCACATAAAAAGTACACACGCTTCTGGGGCTAACGGTTCCACCTGAATCATTGTCCAGTTGTCACCCTGGGTTGTCTGCACCTCAATTACCTCATGTGCAATTAATACTAATTTAGAGAAATAATGTAGTAAAGTCCCTAGTGCATGACTTGGTGTATGACAGGTACTTGGCAAATAGAAGCTATTACTATTATTAACATGTAGATGTTGCTGAGTCGGTTCTGACTCATAGTGATAGAGTTTCTAAGGAGCAAATGGTAGGTTTGAACTGTTGACCTTGTAGCTGTTTATCCAACTATTGCACCACAAATGACAATAAGTTACATAAACAAGATCATCAGACCAAACTGAAGAGAAATTTTCACGTGGAAATTCCAGTTTGGTGCAAGCTGCTACTTTGTGTAAGTGTAAAGGATTTGAAAACATTGAGTTGCCATCAAGGGCAGAATCCTCATACAACTGTACAGGGCAAATGATGGTGGCCTGTGCCTTTTAAGCCCATCCAAAGAGGCACAGGTCACGAGGAGACAACCTGCAGAAGACTTAACGTGCTGTACTTCAGTGTCACTTTCAACTTTCAAACGTAATAGCTTAAATGAAGCCTTCAGTTCTGACTAACTGAGAAGCACCATGCAAGACTGCCTGTGAATCACCTGCAAAGTATTAAACACAGATTCCAGGGTTCCACCCCCGAGATCCAGCTTTAGAATGTTCAGGTGAATACTGGGAATCTGTAGTTTAGTGTGGTGACGTTGGATAAGAACTGGACTGGCAACCAAAACGTTGGCAGTTCAAACCGACCAGCCATTTTCAGACACTCTATATAGAACCACTGTGAGTCAGAACGGACTCGATGGCACACACAAAACAACAAAAGCTAGAGTTGAAACCAATGTACTAAGAATGTATCTGAAAATCCTAAATCTTAATTTTCCAATCTTGGGAACAGGGTTTATGTAAAGTCAGACTCTCTAAACACTTTTACTCTGAGGCAGTTCATGAATTTATGAACAATCTATTATCTAGGTGTGCATTAACCGGGGGCAGAGCTGCTCAAGTCCCTGGAGGATGGGGAGGGGGGGTCTGAGGTGTCACAATCGAGGCCTTTGAGTGGTGGGTTCTCCTTTTCCACATAACATCCCCTCCACGCCACCCCAAGTAGACTTCCCCAGGGCCTGCTGGATTAATCTCATTAAATTGCCCTCAGATAGTGAGGAGTTAACATTATCTTGGTTTTAACTGTGATCAAATTATCCTACAAAGAGCGCTGATTGAGGCAAATTTAACACAAAGAATGTTCCCATATTGAGTTAAATCTATTTATGCCTAAAGTTGTAAATAATATGAAATACAAAAAAATTAAATGAGACACTTACATAAACTGGTTTTTTTTTCAAAATGAAAGCTACTAAACTTTCCACTTTTCAGAATTAAAAGTTGGATATTTTCTCCCATAAAAATCACAAAGTTTATACATGTCTGTTTGCTACCTTAAGCAAGAATGAATACATTGCATATACATACAAGCAGTCTTACCCGTTAAACTGATATTTACAGTGTGTGTGTAGGTGTGTGCGTTGGAGGGGGAGGTAAGAGGGTAGGGAAGGATAGTTCTTTGTGTCCATCAATTAAGTGTGTTCATTTCCCAGAAGAAGGCAGCAAAGATGGCAGGACAGGGGAAGGTGTACCATCTTGGAGTCTCCAGGCCTGAGTGTGGAAAGGTGAGCTGAGAGCTTAGCTTCCCTGGGGTGGAAACATTACACACAGCGGGAACTTGGGGAGCAGAGGGTGGTGATCCAATTGTGATAAAATGAATAAGGAATATGGTTCTCATTGGCTACAGCCAAACAGTGACATATGCATTGTTGCACCTTATAAAAGGTGGCACAAGCGCTCAGAGAAGTAACTGACAACATGTATCAAGAACCGTGGAACATTTCAACAAGTCCTTTCTTTTCTAGGAATTTATAGCAAAAAGAATCAAGAGATGCAAAAATGTATTTATGTTAAACGTTAGTTATACTAGGAAACCTGTGTAAGAAACAAACCCTTAAATAACAAGAGAATAATAATTATGATTTCTCCATATAATGAAGTATTAGTCAGCCATTAAAAATGTTTATGGAGAAATTTCATCACCAGAAAAATCTTCACAACATAATGTTAATGTGAAAACAGCAGGTACAAATTAAATATTAGTAATAATATCCCAATTTTATAAAGATGCACAGAAAAAATGAAATACATTTAATTGAACGAGCGTTCTATCTGAGGGACTGATTTTAATTTTCTTCTTATGCTTCTCTGTACTTTCTATTTTCTATGTAAACATCTTACTTTAAAGAAAACCTCAATTAAAGCCTGATTATTTTCTGATGAAGAAATATTTTTTTAATATTTCCTAGTAGAGAAAAAACCCTACAGCATTCAAACCTTCAGTTTAGGCTTTCATAGGATGACAGTTAGTAGATCCTTTGATAAATAACATCATTTTAAAAATTAGAAAATTGCACAATTTCAGAGCCAGTGTCACATTCCAACTTCCCATGCATGCAGTTCAAAGTCAGCCCCCTTGCAAGGATTACTGACATTTAGTTATCATTCTATGCATTTTTCTTAGGAGTACAATAAAATAATGCTTTGTCCAAAGACCTACTTATTTTCCACTTTTGCAGCATACACTTGGTCTTTTTCCAGAGCTACGTGGCGCTCTTCCGACACACTATAATACAGAATCATCTCCTCCATCAGAACTTCCAATTTATGTATTTCTTGCCAAGGCTGGATGACAAAGTAGCCGGGGTGACAGGCCACGGGCACATACACATCCATGTGTTCCCCTGGTTTTGACAAGTGGATGGGAGGTGGTAGTTCATCCATGGGGAAAGAGCTGGGGTACTCCACCGTCTTTTTGACGCTATCAGTGAGGCTCCTCCTGAAATTCTCCCCAGTGCTGCCCGACATGGCGGTGTTGCCACTTTTGGTGGGAGCGTCTGCTCCACTAGATACAGCGCTCAGAAACACATCCTCCTGATGCTTCCACAAGTCTGCATTTGCAATCTGGCGATTAATACTGCGGTGAGGGTCAGGGAAGTTCTTGGGAGTAAATAAATAAATATGTGCAGTCCGTTTGGTTTCATCCACTTTGGTTACCTTTGGAAAACACACAGGCACATACACACACAAACAATTTAAGAAATCTACGTCATAATATGAATCCTAAATATTACAATAAGTAATTTCAAGAAAGTCTAAAATCCATTTTATTTAAGATAAATGAGTTATCCTAGCTCTGGATAGGTTCTTAGGTTAAAATAGTCCAGAAAACAACTGTCTCTTGCTAGAGGCATAATCACTGAGAAGGAAAGGGATTCTATATATTATGGTTTTACACAACCTATCACAGGAAGTTCAAAATACTCAAAGGAGGACCCCCACTGTGCAGGTCAGCCAGCTCCAACAATGACCACTCTTCACAGTAATGAAGAGGGCAGAATGTCTGTGCCCTCAGACTGCAAAGAACCTCTGGTCCTAATCCCCGGCGCAATGCTAGTCTTTCTCCTACCCTCTCCCCCCTTCCAATTTTATGGGAGAAGAGAGGCTTTGGGAGAAAGAAAGCCCCAGTATGACTCTGTACCTTTTACCCAGGAGACCTTTTGACTGCCTAGCCCCCTCTGCTGTTTCTCTAGAGGGGAGATGAGCAGACACTGACTAAGAGACAACTGGAATTGTACTTCGGAACCACTGTGTCCCAAGTGGTTAGCTGACTGGTAATTCTCATCAGCTCTTCTGATTTATTTTAAGAATGCCCAAAGTGAGACACTTCTAAGCCATGTCTATGTTTTATCAACTAGGGCTAGAAGTGAGAGCAGGCATGAAAAAAGGAAGACAATCCAATCCATCCATAGCCACGTACTTCCATATTTTCCCCAGTGAGATGAATCTATTTAAACTCACCCTTCAAAGTGGCAAGGAGATACTGGCTGCTAGTTCATTTCTATATTTACGATGTTGTTGTTGTTAAGTGCCATCGAGTCGATTCCGACCCATAGTGACCCAGTATAGGGTTTCCTAGGAGCAGCTGGTGAGGTTGAACCACCCGTCCTTGCAGTTCGAATGACTTCGCAGTCTGATGCATTAGCCCACAGCGCCATACCAGGACTCCTGTATCACATATTTATGATACAGGAGTATAGTTTTTTAAATCAACTAATTAAAAAATATTTGTATTGAGAATTTGACACCCTGGTTTTGAGAACTTAAAATGTAGCTGAGAAAACAATATTCATTGTCACGTGACAATGGAACAATATCAAGTGGCACATAAGTGCAGTTGTGCACTATAAACCTACAGCAGTCTTATGATAGGAAAATCAGTGTGAGCTTGAAAAATTTCAAGATCCTCTTAAAGATATCTCTCCACTCTTTCTCATTGTTAAAAGCAAGTATCAAATGGTAGCACTATTTGCATCTGTTAACAACAAAGAAAAATATCTCGTTACATTTCTATTCTTGGAATTAGGAGCAATGTCTTTGATACAAAGATGCAAAAGTACAGATAAAGAAACAGGATCTAGAGCAAAAAGTAAACCAGTTTGAATATATTTTTTAAAATGAAGCAAAACCCAAGAATAAAGTAAGCAATGTGCTTACAATCTATTCTACATTAGAAAAAAAAAAACACAAAAACAAAAACCAGGGGACTTAAGTAATTTTAGAAGCATTTGTCAAGAGAGATGTGAGCCCTCTGTGGGATTAACAGACAAGGGGCCAGAAGACATCTATATCCTTTCAGTAGAGGACAAACAGGTCCTATCACAGGCTTACATATAATACTGGAGAAATGGGATAACTTGCTAAATAGAAAACCATTAAGCTATGAAACATAACTATGTATCTATCCAACCTGACTATAAAATTGTATTGGATGCATAAGCATCAGTTTACAATAAAATTATTTCACTAAAACAAATGACCCCCCCTTTGCTGCCTGCTTCCTTTCTAAATGTACAGGATCAGTGTGACAACTAACCTTAATGCTACAGTCCGAGCAATTCAAAACAGAATCTCTCAGCCAGAGCACAGCATCTGGGGTCCACATGCCGAGAGACTGTGGGAGATCTGCTAAACAGCACTTAATAGCCTGAAATGAAAACAAAAAGGCAAACATACCATCTTAAAGTCAGTACTTATGAGTAATGCCAACATTATTTTTTTACAAGTTAGATGTTGCCAAGCTAGAGAGCAAACAGCAGCAATAGCTAATGCCAACAGCCCTGGGATCTGAGCATCTATGAGGCTCCTGGTTCTATGCATCTTCTTGCTTTATTCCTAATCTGACTTTGGACTTGTACCAGATACTGCATGTACTTCTTGCCCTACAACACATTAAAAAAATAGTGTTGTGATCACATTTCATGGATGGTAAAACAGACTCAGGTTGACTGACTCATGCCTGGATTTTCCTCTAAGACAAACTCAAAACAATGAAATATCATTTGCAGAGAAAAGGGACAAATAGAAACAGGGAACACTCAGAGGACGAAGTGGAAAGGTATTGTGACATTGAGGGTAGTGCAACCAAGGTCACAAAACAAAACGTGTATACACTGTTGAGTGGAAACGAATTTGCTCTATAAACTTTCACCCAAACTACAGTTTTACAAAAAGAAGTGTCATTTGGATACCATTTGACTCCCAGTGTAAAATTCTTTTTGGAGACTTAAGTGCTTTTTTTGCAGTGGTTGAGCACCTTGTGGGCACAGGCATCATGCTCATCTTTGGAAGGAGGATGTAATGAGTTAAGAAAAGTACACCAAAAACCCCACTGCAGTCAAGTTGATTCCAGCTCACAGGGACCCTCCAGGACAGAGCAGAACTGCCCCATAGGGTTTCTAAGGCCGCAGTCTTTATGGAGGCAGACTGCCTCATCTTTCTCCCACAAAGCAACTGATGATCTTTCAGTTAGCAGTGGAGCATTTTAACCCCTGTGCACTGGGCTCCAAGAAAAGTAAGAAAAAGTAAAATCCACAGATACCTCAATGCCTGATTTTCTTCCATGTTTTTACATCCCACCATTAGCGCATTTTCAGTGGACTGGCAAGAGCAGGGAATAAAAGGTAACCTCAGAGACACCCCACCCCACCCCAGTTAGCCTTCTGTTAGCCTTTTACAATGGGTGGAGGCAATTTTGTAGAAATGAGATTGACTTCCAGGGTTCCATCGTTCTCCTCTGAGCTTCCTTCTCCCTCTGTGAACTCTCTTCCTCCAGGGTCCCCACGTCTCCATTGTGATGCCTGTATGTGGAACTTTTTTTGGTGGGGATGGTGTGTCTTAAGAGCAGAGTGCTCATTACTGCTTGTAAGGGTTGGGCAGGTAATGGAGGGAGAGAGACAGCCAGATGGGAGCATTCCCAAAGCTCCTGTGGAGCAATGCCAATTGAGATGGTCACTCCACAGCTTCTCATTTGTTAAGAGATGCTAGAAGTGGGGAGTTTGCTAAGAAATTTTCTGATTTTTAAATCTTGGCAACTAATTCATGTTTTGAAAACACTGTGAAAACCAAAAACCAATATCCACGGATCCTTTAGGGTCTACAGTCCATCAATTTGCTACTTCTGATTTGGCAAGGATGTTGTCAGGACGTTGTTAGTCAAGCAGTTAGGACAACTGGGCTGTCTGGTGGCTAGGGTTTCCTCAACCAAGAGTTCTCACATCAATCAAGTAGCAAATCTAAATTAAGATGAACGATTTCTAATGTTTTTTAAAGCTGAAGCACAAAGAAGGCACTATCACATTCTAATGCAAATAAAGCCAACGGTTTACAATTTTTGCAAATACCCAAGTGCACATTGACGTGTGCCTATGATTTGGGGGTGGATTGGTGGGGGGGGAGGGGATACAGTACTCTGAATTTCAGATGTCTAAGCAGTGGAAGAGATCCCCTCCAGCCTTGAATAGATGTTCTAACAAGGGGATGCAAAGGCGAGTGGTATTGATTAAGTCAAAGCAGTGCACGGGGTCACCTGTGTTGGCGCCAACTCAACAGGAGCTAAGAGCAAGGACAGCAGCACTTAAAGGTCTACCAATTTTCAGTATTATTATGGCTGATCAACAATAAAGTACAAATGATTCTGAAAACATACTTTAAATGAATTAAACAGCTTTCCAGTAATAGTCATCGCTTGGAAAGGCGAGGGTGATTAGACTTAGAGAAATGATAAAAGCCACGATCAGCTACTTTTACTCACTGACTTTTAGTGGCATAAGATGCCTTCTCGCAAATATAAGTGGAGAGGCATCTTGTAACTAAAAAATAATGAGAACTTCCACTCACTAAAAGAGGTTTGGTACAAAATCTTTTATTTTTAATCTTGGAAGGGGATCTTAATGCTTATAGACTCAAAATAATGCAGTTACTAAAATCAGAGAAAGTCCTCTATCTCTGCAGTTAGTATTACAAGCTAAGTGAATCTTTTTTTTCTTTTTTTAATGAGAATCTGTGGGAACAGGATTCAAAATCAACAGATTCCCAGTGTGAATGGTTACCTAAGTAAACTAAGAACTCTGGAAGTAAATATTTGTATACAATACACTGCAACTGTGTAGAAATCAGTATTGCCATCTAATTACTAAAACAGAATCTCTAACTAAATATAGTCTAATTACTTGAAAACAGACATTTGTCACAAAATATTCCATAAATTTGGCTGGTCTGATTGTCTAAGTCAGCTAACTTTTACTTCTGAAACCCAGTAAGCAGCCACATTTAGACAGTTTCCAATTTTCTTAAGAACTAGGATTCCAAACATTAATGAGATCAACACTGAGAGGGCATCTCACAAGACGATTACACTGCATTCGAATCTCTTTCAGCAGATTGGCCTTGTCCCAGAAAGTACCTGAGGTGGAATGGCAATCACTTCTTGTATGAACCGAGGTGGAATTTCCCGAAGCTCTGCTACTTTTACAGACATCATAGTGCCTGAGTCTAGGAACTGGACATCAAGAGCCCGGCTACTGTGAACGTTTGTGATCTGAAACGAGACAAGCTAATTTACTAGCATCTCCAAACAACCAAATGCTTCTATGCAATTATATTTTGTACAACTCTAAACTATATATAATCAGCACTGGGCTGTGAAACACAAGGTCGACAGTTCAAACTCACTTGTCGCTCTTTGGAAACCCTATACAGGGTCACTATGAGACTCCATAGACTTCTGGTATGGCGCTGTGGGTTAAGGGGTTAAGGCACTGGACTGCAAAGTCAGTTTGAACCACAAGGTTGGCAGTTGAAGCTCATCAATCACTCCTTGGAAACTCTATACAGGGTTGCTATGGATTTGGAACCAATTCGACAGCATTTAACAACAGCAACATGAGACTCCACAGCACTAACAACAACAACAAAAAATGCATATGGAGTCTGGGGGTGATACTGTTGGATAAGCACTGGACTGCAAGGTTGAACTATAAGGTCGGAGGTTCAAACTCACCAGTCGTTATTCAAAAACCCTATAGAGGGATGCTATGAGTTGGAACTGACTCAATGGCACTTAACAACAGCAACATCAAAACTGAATATTGGAAGTGCTCGTGGTACTATAGGATAAGCACTAAACTTTCAACCCCAAGGCTGGTGGCTCGAGTCAATTCATGTAAGAAAGATGAGGCTTTCTGCTCCCATAAAGTTTTATAATCTAGGAAATCCTATACAGGGTCTTTATGTGTTGGAACCAACTTGACAACATTTAATAACAACAAGAACAAAATTGCATATAAAAACAACAAAGACAATAGGTACTAAGATTTCCCTAATTTAAAAATCAATTTATTTAACTAGAAAGACGTTCTTTTAAGAGTAGAATTGATTTCAATATTGTTTTTAATTCGTCTAATTAGTAATAATCAGTACACTAATAATAAAATCCACACATGCAGCAATATTAACTATTTATTCAATTCTAGGATACTAACAATTACAAAAAATCAGTACTTTTTATATAGTACTGATTAGGAGATACAATCTGTTCTCCAAAATATCAAAATATAAGGAAAAACTATTGTGTCTTAGCAATGAGACGCTGAAGAATAGTTTAGAGAAAGATTTACTTGTCATAAACACTACATATTTTAATTATAAGATATTTTGGTATTCTATAGCTTCATTAGAAACATAATGATAGTTTAAACATTTCTCCTAATTTAAAGAACTGGCACTCAGAAAATTATAAAGAGGCAAAATAAGTCCAAATTGACTGCTCAAAAACTGGAAAATTACACAGTGTCAGAGTAATATTTACCTCTCTGTCATAAAATGATTTCCGTCCGTAATGACATCATCACAATACTAGGTTCTAGATGAACCTTATGAGTGCATTATGTCCCTAAGTAAGTCACTGTGTTCCCTGCAGCATTGAACACTAGCCAAATACAGCCCATTCAGAAGGATCATTTGGGTTTTAAACCTGCAACTGCATTAACTGCCACCTTAAGAATGGTGGTGTCTTTAAGGCAGACATTGTCAAAATGGAGCAGATCACAAGCTAGACATGGAAGGCACACACACAAAAAACAAAGCCCCTTTCTCCAGGGAATGCTGTATTAATGTAACAGCACAAATATGCTAATTTCTTCTTGTTGTTGTTAAGTGCCCTTGAGGCTGTTCCAACTCATAGCGACCCTGCATATAGGATTTCCTAGGAGCAGCTGGTGGGTTTGGTCTTATGGTTAGCAGTCCAATGCTTATTCTATAGTACCAAGCCAGGACACAACAATCGGTAATATCAAACAATATTTTATATATTATTTATTTATCCAAACATGTATATTGAGTCCTGGTGGTATCGTGAGTGACATGTTGGATTGCTTACCACGAGGCCTGCAGTTTGAATCTATTAGCCACTCCCCAGGAGAAAGATGAGGCTTTCTGTTCCCATAAACATTTACAGGTTGCTATGAGTTGGAACTGACTCGGCAGCACACAGCACCATATACTGAACATACACAATGGTTTGGATGGCATATACTGAGTACTTATTACATCCAGGCATCTCTGGACCATAGAGATCTGCTTCTCCTTCTCAGATTCCCCCTGGTTTATGGAAGGTAATACAAACATGCAATAGCTATTCATATTCAAGTAATAAAGCTATTCATAGAGTATTATGAGACCAGAGAGGATGGGGACCTGACCCAGCCAGTTAGCAGATGGTAAGGAAAGCTCCTAGGAGGAGGGCATGTCTAAAATATGTACTTTTCTTTCAAATTAATTTTTATTATTATTTTATTGTAATACCTCTATGACAGAAAATTTAGAAAAATTTAACAAGGATATAAAAATCATTTGTAATCTACTAGAGATAATTACTGTTAAATTTTGTGCATATCCTAGTCTTTTTTTCTGTGATACGATATTATTTACAAAATTAGAATATACCTGTACATATCATTTCATAACTATTTTTGACTCAAAGTATCATAAATATTCCTGTAATTAAATATTCTTCTACAACATCATTTTAGTGTTACATTGTGTGAACTTTTTGTTTTTATAATAAATGATATTTATTAGACATTTATGTATTTTTTATAAATTATCTACTTATATCCTTTCAGAGAGCTCTGGTAGCGTAGTGGTTACTAATTGGGCTGCTAACCTCAAGGTCAGCAGTTCAAAACTACAGCGGCTCCATGGGAGAAAGATGAGGCTTTCTGCTCCAGTAAAGATTTACAGCCTTGGACAGGATCCCTATGAGTTGGAACCGACTCCACGGCACACCACCACCATCACCATTCTTTCAGAACTAAACTTAAAATTATGAACGGGAGTAAAACTGGTTGGTGGGCATCTAGTTTGTGGTTACATCTGGGCACTTCAAACAGAAGAGAAAGAATAAGCAGACATTTGTTGTTATGTGCCGTTGAGTCGATCCCAACTCAGAGTGACCCTGTACAGGGTTTCCAAGGAGGGCTGGTGGGCAAAGACATGGACGTAAGAAATACTTGTTACGTGTGAGGTCGACATGCATTTTGGTTGTAAAGAGGCAGGGAAGGGCAAGATAGAGGCTAGAAAGCAGCAAAGGCTCTTAGATATCCCAATGATCATATGTCAAAGAACTTGGACTTTTTACCCTGTAGGTAAGAAGAAGCCTACAGGCTTATCAAATCAAGAAAGCAAGGTTGGCTAATTTGCAAATCTTATGAAAATTATGGACACTTCCCCCTCTGCCCCACAAACACATAGATAGATGTTTTGGATTAAATAAGTGTCATCCTCCCCTCCCTCATATACGTCTTGTAAAGGCTAACCCTATCTAGTGGATATAATTCCATTTGAGAATGGGGTTGCTTTGTTATGCTAATGATGACATGTCAGTATCCAATCATCTTCAAGATAAGCACAGAGAAAAAGAGATGGAGGGAGACAGGTCAAGGCCAAATGAAAATGGACAAACTGAGGAACAGAAGCTGAAATGAGATGAGGAGCTTCCCCTACAGCTGGTATAAAGCCTTCCCTTAGAGCCCGTGTGCCTTGAATTCAGACTTCTGGTATAGCACTGGAGGTTCAAATCCAAATCCACCAGCTGATCCTTGGAAACCTTATACAACAGGGCCAATCGGTTACGAATCAGGCTGCGAACCTTAAGGTCAACAGTTCGAAACTACCATCCGCCTCGCGGGAGAAAGATGAGGCTTTCTACTCCTGTCACGATTTACAGCCTTGGAAACCCTGTACAGGGTCGCTATGGGTCGGAATCGACTCGACGGCACTTAACAACAACAACAACAACTCTGAGTCAAAACTAACTTGATAGCACTTAACAACAAAATTGTGAGAAAGTGTTTCTGTTTGTTAGAGCCATCCACTTGTGGTGTCACTGCTATTGTAGCACTAGACACTTACATACTGTATCATGGGGGTTGGTTCAGGGACTCCCCTGCAAGTAGAGGTCCTTGTACCTAGGTTAAGAATCCTTGCAACAAAGGAAAAATCAAATAAAAACAAAATCAAACCAAGATTTGCATTTTTAGCAGTTAGGCAAACTAGAGATATTAAACAAACAACAATAATGAAAAGAAAAATCAACAGTAAGCCCAGAAAATCCAAAACCTACCTACCTTTTAAGAAGTAGAGACATTGGCTACAATTATAGTAAACCTGCTTACAAATTCATCACTGAGCTTACAAGAGAGTAAGGGAAACTGTTAGAGGCTGGAAATCAGAGAAGTGTGTGAGTGCTGAAGCCCAAACCATCCTGTGTGAGACCCAGGGCCTCACATCCGGGCAACAGGGAGGGAGGAGTCGAGTCTCCATATGAGGGTGACCCCCTCAAAGGCTGACACCCTCAAAAGAAGGGTGACTTTGGAGAGCTGTTGTTGGGTGCCATCGCATCAGTACCGCCTCACAGCAACCCTGTGTACAACAGAACACAACACTGTCCAGTCCTGGAACAACCTCACAATTGTTACCACGCTTGAGCCCATTGATGCTGCCATTGTGCCAATCCATCTTGCTGGGGGCCTTCCTCTTATTCACTGACCCTCCACCTTACCAAACATGATATCCTTCTCAAGCGACTGGTCCCTCCTGACAATATGTCCAAAGTATGAGACAAAGTTTGGCCATCCTGGCCTCCAAGGAGCACTCTAGCTGCACTTCTTTCAACATAGATCGGTTGGTTCTATGGGCAGCCCATGGTACTTGCAATATTCTCCTTTAACACCATAACTCAAATGCCTCAATTCTTCTATGATCTTCCTTATTCACTGTGCAGCTTTCGCATGCATATGAAGTTATTGAAAATACCATGTCTTGGGTCAGGCGTACCTTAGTCCTCAAGCTGACATCTTTGCTCTTCAACACTTGAAAAAGGTCTTGTGCATGAGATTTGCCTAATGCAATATGTCGTTTGATCTCCTGACTGCTGTTTCCATGAGTGTTGATGGCTGGTCCAAGAAAAATGAAGTCTTTAACAACTTCAATCTTTTCTCCATTGATAAGAATGTTGTTTATTGGTCCAGTGGTGAGGATTTTTGTTTTCTTTACATTGAGATGCAATTCATATTGATGGCTGTGGTTTTTGATCTTCATCAGTAAGTATTTTAAGTCCTTCATCAGTAAGTATTTTAAGTCCTCTTCACTTTCAGCAAGCAAGGTTGCATCATCTGCATATCACAAGTTGTTAATGAGTCTTCCTCCAATACTGATGCCATGTTTTTCTTCATATAACCCAGCTTCTCGGATTATCTGCTCAGCATACAAGTTGAATAAGTATGGTGAAAGAATACAACCCTGTTGCACACGTTTCTTAATTTTAAACGATTCAGTGTTCCCATGTTCAGTTTGAACAATTGCCACTTGTCCATGTACAGGTTTCTCATGAGCACAATTAAGTGTTCAAGAATATTCATACTTCGTAATGCTGTCCATAGCTTGTTATGACCCACACAATCAAAAGCGTTTGTGTAGTCACTAAAGCACAGGTAAATATCTTTCTGGTATTCTCTGTTTTCAGCCTAGATCCATCGGACGTCAGCAATGATATCCTTCATTCCATGTCCTCTTCTGAATCTGGCTTGAACTTCAGGAAATTCTCTGTCAATGTATACCTGCAGCTATTTCTGTATTACCTTTAGTAAAACTTTACTCGCATGGGATATCAAAGATATTGTCCGATGATTTTCACATAACATTGGGCCACCTCTCTTTGGAATGGGCACAAATACAGATCTCTTCCTATCAGTTGGCCAGATAGTTATCTTCCAAATTTCTTGGCATAGATGAGTAAGTCCCTCTAGATAATATTTGGTAAAGTTAGAGATTCGCCTTCGTGACACCCAGAAACTCCATACCTACATCTGTTCCCTGGGAGATGCAACCTAAATACCTGTTATGGGGGGAACAGAGAGAGAATGCTGGCTTACCCACTCACTGTTTTATCAGACAGCAGTGAGAACAAATGACCCACACACATGAATCTCATCAACATAATGAATGAAAAAGCAGGAAGAATCAATATATTTTACTATTTATATACATTTCAAAAGTATATTCAATTAGCTATATTATACCGACAAACCAACCACACCTGTCGGGTCAATTTCCACTAACAGCAACCTTAAAGGACAGAACAGAACCACTCCTTAGGGTTTCCGAGACTAAGCCTTTATGGAAGCTGACAGGCTCGTCTTTCTCCTGAAGAGCAGCTGATGGATTCAAACTTCTGACCTTGTGGTTAGTAGCCAAGTAAGTAACCCACCACGCCACCATTTGTTCTTTTGCTCTATACTTTTACATGCATATTGGCTTATGTGTTAGAGGTTGGTGGGAGATGAAAGGAGATGAGGAGGGACTCTCAACCACACTGGTCAGGCTTTTATTTCTTCCACTAATATATGGCAACTTATTTCATTTTAAAAATACTTATGTGCGTCTCTGAAATATTTTACGATAAGTTATTTAAAAAATTAAATGACTGATTTTTACCTCTACTCGTGACCATTTTCCTTTGCAATGGAAGAGGCAGATTTTCCCACAGAAGGGTACTGAAATGAAGTACTCAGAGGTCATGTGCTGTAAGACAGGCAGGCAGGGTACTTTTACTACTTCTTAGCAAAGAGCATATTGTTACACCATTAAACAAACTAACAAACAACTGTGTTACAGGCAGTCTGGTTAACCAGAATGCTACACAACTTCCAGAAAGAAGTTACGAAACTTCTGTCTTGTTACTCACGCATATGCTGATGACAGTGATTTACGTTCCTTACATGCCATGGCTCATAAATCAGAACGGTTAAAACGTCTAGAAAATGTTAGCACGGAGGTCGGTATGCTCTGGCTCCACCAGGTAAACAGGAAGGAGAACAGCATGGATGAAAATCGAGGAGACTGGACTAGCTATCCCCAAAGCATCTTCATCTTTTAACATTTAGTTCTCAAACAAATGTCACCAACACAAACATTTGCCAGTGAATGCCAACCATTTGTGGTTGTAGGTCTTTTCGTCCCTTTCTGCTGAAGCTGGCAGCTGGGCACCGGCCTATGGTGGCTTTCAACTCAGGGTGAGCAACTTTACTCTCCACATCAACAATGTCTCAACTCAGGTTACCACAGCCCTGTGGTTGTTGTGTGTTGATGAGTTGGTTCTAAGTCTGTATGAGGTTTCGGAGCGTGACTGGCAGGCTTGAAATGCCGACCTTGCTGTTACAAGTCTAGTGTTTATCCTACAGCACCACATCAGGGCTCCAACTATCAAGAGTGTTTTTTTTACCTCCATAAGTTATATGGGGACTTGTGGTGTGGCGCTGTAAGATAAGCACTGGACAGCTAGCCACGAGGTCGCCAGTTCAAACCCACCAGCTGCTCCTTGGAAACCCTTTAAAGGGTTGCTATGAATTGGAACAGACTCGAAAGCACTTAACCACCACCACCACAGGTCATAAGGACATCTATGCATATAGGTCACTGGACTCAGCCTCTCTGGGTGTCTCAGCTTTCTCCAAGACAGACAAACTAAACTTAAGCAATGCCTTTTGGACACATATATGACATCTGTCATACAGACACAGACAAAGATCTGGTGCCTCAATTCCAGACTGTGGTGTAAATACAGGGTTAACTTCATTCACTAATACTTTGGAATAGTCTTTCTATGTAACATACTAGATGAGATACTGTAAAGAATATAAAAATTGGTAAGGCACAATCTCTGCCCTCAACAAGCCTACACGCAAGTAAGGGGAAAAAGCATCAGAAGAGATAAAATACAAAGTTGAATACTAGTGCCACAAAGCACCATATGTACTTGGTAGGTTAAGGGAAAATCTCACACCTGGGGACGAGAGGGTGGGGACTGAATCAGCATTATTAGACTTTTGCTGCTGGGAAATCAAGCCATTCTCTGGATTAGGGTTATAATGTCCTACTGGAAGTAGAGGAAATCATCTTAGAAATTTAAAACAAAGCAAAACTCCAACAGATCCTGATTCAGAAAATATGACAATTATGGAGTAAGGAGATTACTGATACAATTTAAACTGCAGAACTGCATTTACCAAAGTAGCAGGTTCTCAAGGATGATAAAGGGCAGAGGGAGTGAAGACTAAGAAGATGACAGCAGATTTAGGAAGGGTTCAATTCTCCTAAATTCGAAGGTTTATTCTTTGCTGAGGCAAAAGAGCCAGTGGGGTCTCACAGGATCACCAACTGAGTGCTAACCTACCCACAGTTGAGCACTTCTCTTCATGCGGGCATGGTGCTAAGTGGGCTGGTAACCAATCATTTTTGTTGTGCTTTTCCCTCTGAAGTACTAAAATTCGGGACCCTTGTCTAGTATTCAAAACTGACTGGTACTTAAGCAACTTAGCGAACCACTCGAGCTTACACTTTGAGAGCTAGATGATCCCCCGCTATACCTTGCAATGGAAGTAGTCCTCTATCTTATGTAGAAGGTCGCTGAGTTTGTTCAGACCCTTACAAGGCACCTGGCAGTAGAGTGTTCCGTCAGAGCAAATATTGGTGACTTTGACATTTGTGTACATGGCATCAACCTGCAACAAACAAAAGAGCACACGGGAGAAGATTCAAGGTTAGGCCTGAATGTTTGCAAAGAGAATGAAGCTCCTCCCTACCTCATGTAAGATACTGTCTGCCTGTCTGTTTTAAAACTTGAATGACTAGATGCTCCCATTCATTTCAAAATATCTTAACTCCGGTAGATCGCAACACATTTTTTGTCAAAATCTCTCACCTTTCCAAAATGTTCAAGGAAGTTCACCTCAGTACAAGCTGGAGGATAAAACTAGTTAGTGCCAGGCTGATTCTGGCTCATGGCAATGCCACGTGGGTTCACACAGCGCTGTGCTCTTAAAAGGCTTTCAACGGCTGTTTTCAGAAACAGGCCACCAAGGTTTTTTTCCCAAAGCAACTCTGAGGGGGTTTGAACTGCTAACTTTCCATTAGCAGTTGAGTGAGTTAACCATTTGCATCACCCAGGGATTCATTGTTCAAGAATAGATAGGAAGGAAAGAAATTCCTAACTTAAACGAAAAAAAAAAAAAAAAACCCAAACATATTTGGATTTGGATCTCTCCCTTTTCAAAAGGCATATCTGAAGGCACTTTGCCAGGCATAAGAGAGACATTTTGCATAAAGCGTTATCAGGCTGCGAACCGCAAGGTCAGCAGTTCAAAACTACCAGCTGCTCCGCGGGAGAAAGATGAGGCTTTCTGCTCTCGTAAAGATTTACAGCCTCGGAAACCCCGTTCAGGGTCACTATGGGTCGGAACCGACTCAAAAACACTTAACAACAACAACAACAACATTTAACACATTATCACATCCCCTAGCTGAAAGGCTAGGAATAGCTTTAACTTTAATTTTCTCCACACTGATGGAAAAAAATCATTTAAAAAATTATTATGTAAGCCATATTTTTGGAACATTAGTAGAATCAATCACCCTATTTTAAGTCCATAAGCTACATGAATTTTAAGTAACTTACAAAGCGGAGCCCTGGTTTATAGGATAAACACTAGACTAAACAAAAGATTGACAGTTCAAACCCACCGGCCGCTCCTGGGAAACCCTATACAAGGTAGATATGAGTCAGAAACGGCTCAATGGAACTTAACAACAAGGACAATCACAGTTACTGGTGTTGTTAGGTGCCACTGAGTTCATACTGATTCACAGTGACCCTATGCACAACAGATGAAATGCTGCCCGGTCTTGTGTTCACCTCACAATTGTTGTTATGTTTGAGTTATTGCTGCTGCCACTACACCAATCTGTCTCTTTGGGGGTCTTTCTCTTTTTCTCTGACCCTCCATTTTACCGAACATGATATCCTTGTCCAGGGACTGGTCACTCCTGATAATATGACTGAAGTAGTATGAGAGATGAAGTCTGGCCATCCTAGCTTCCAAGGAGCATTCTGACTGTACTTCTCCCGACACGGATGTTCTTTCGGCAGTCCATGGCACTTTTAATATTCTCCTCCAGCACTATAACTCCAATGCAACAATCTTCTATTGTCTTTCTTATTCACTGTCCAACTTTCACATATGTATGAAGCTATTGAAACTATCATGACTTGAGTCAGGTGTACCTTAGTCCTCAAGCTGACATCTTGCTCTTGAAGAGGTCTTGCACAGCAGAATTGCCTAATGCAGTATGTTGTATGATTTCTTGACGGTTGCTTCCATGAGTGTTGATGGTTGAGCTGAGCAAAATGAAGTCGACAGCTTCAATCTTTTCTCCATTGATATGGATGATGTTATCCATTGATATGATGATGTCCGGTGGTGAGGATTTTTGTTTTCTTTACACTGAGGTGCAACCCATACCCAAGCTGTGATCTTTGATTTTCATCAGGTAAGTATTTTAACTTCTCTTTGCTTTCAGCAAGCAAGGTTATATCATCTGCATATCTTAGGTTGTTAATGAATCTTCCTCCAATCTTGATGCCATGCTTTGCTTCATATAATCCACCTTCTCAGATTATTTGCTCAGCACACAGATTGAGTAAGTATGGTGAAAAATACAACTCTGGTATACACCTTTACTATTTTAAAATCATTCAGTGTTCTCTTGTTCTGTCTGAACAACTGCCTCTTGGTCTATGTACAGGTTCCTCATGAGCGCAATTAATTGTTCAGAATACTTATTCTCCACAATGTTGTCCATAGCTTGTCAAGATGCACACAATTGAAAGTTTTTGTGTAGTCAATAAAGCACAATCACAGTGTAAAGGTTTAATTTTATACATTTTAGTCTAATCATAATATAAAGATAACTCAGTATTGTTCTACTTAGCAAACATTTTCTCAGTATTGCTTCATAAGATTATTCTTTTAATATTTCTACCTATTCTGTACAGTGGATGCTTTATAATTTAGTTAAAGGTTTCTCACTTTGGGGGTATGTATGTTCTTGACATTTAAAAATTTTAAAGCTAATATGAATATCTTTATGAATATAATTTTCCTCTGTTTGTATTATTCTCCCCTAGAGTTCGAATCTACCAGCTGCTCAGTGAGACAAACAGGCGGCTTTCTACTCCTGTAAAGATTTACAGTCTTGAAAACTGTACACAGGGTGACTATGAGTCAGAACTGATTTCATGGCACACAACAGCACCAGCAGGATTATCCTTGCAAGGAGACTTGGTGGTGCTGTAGGATAAGCATTGGACTGCTAACTGCAAGGTCAGCAGTTTAAATTCACCAGCCACTCCAAGGAAGAAAGATGAGGTGATTTGCTCCTGTAAAGATTTACAGCCTTGGATATCCTATAAAAGGTCACTATGAGTTAGAATGTACTTGATGGGAGTGGGCTTGTAGGGATCCTGACAGTGTGATGGTTAAGTGCTTGCCTGAAAACTGTAAGGTTGGCAGTTGAAACTCTCCAGAAACTCCATAGGACAGAAGATCTGGAGATCTGCTCCTGTAAATATTACAACCTTGGAAATCCTAAGGGGCACTTCTACCCTGTCCTAAAAGGTTACTATGAATTTGAATTAACTTGATGGTAATGGATTAGAAGACAGATTACTTAATCTGTTGTAATACCACATGTCATGTTGTTGTTGTTGTTGTCAGGTGCCATCAAGTCAGTTCTGACTCACAGTGACCCTATGTACAACAGAATGACCCTATGTGCAACCTTCATATACAACTGAAAATACCAGTGACTTGAGTCTGGCATACTTTAGTCCTAAAATTGCTCCCTCTGCTCTTGAACATTTAAAAGAGGTTCTGTGTAGCAGATTTGCCTAGAGCAACACATCGTTTAATTTCTTGGCTGTTGCTTCCATGATTGTTGGCTGTGAATCTAAGCAAAATGAAGACGTTGACAACTTCATTCTTTTCTTCATTTATCAAGACATTATTTACTGGCCTAGTTGTGAGGATTTTTTTTTTCTCTTTACATTGAGGTGCAATCCACACTGAAGGCTGTAGTTCTGATCTCTTGTAAGTATATTAAGTCCTTTATGCTTTCAGCAAACAGGGTTGTATCATCTGTACATCGCAGATTGCTAATGAGTCTTCCTACATTCCTGATGCCATGTTCTTCTTCATATAATCCAGCTTCTCGGATTATTTGTTCAGCATACGGGTTGAATAAGTATGGTAAAAGAATACAGTGCTGGCGCACAACTTTACTGATTTTAAAATATTTACAATCCCCTTGTTTTGTTCAAATGACTACCTCTTGGTTTATGCACAGGTTCCTCATAAGCACAATTAAGTATTCTGGAATAACCATTCTTTGTAATGTTATCCATAGTTTGCAAAATCTTTGCATAGTCAATAAAGCACAAGTAATCATCTTTCTGATATTTTCTGCTTTCATCCAAGATCCATTTGACATCAGCAATGACATTCCATGTCCTCTTTTGAATCCAACTTGACTTTCTGGCAGTTATGTGTTGATGGGCTGCTATAGCCACTTTTAAATTACCTTCAGCAAAATTTTACTAACGTGATAGTTGTAATATTGTCAGATAACTCTGCATTCCACGGGTTCAACTTTCTTTGGAATGAGCACAAATAAGGATCTTTTCCAATCAGTTGGCCAAAAAGCTGTTTTCCATATTTCTTGGCATAAATGAGTGAGCAACTCCAATGTTGTACCAGCTTGTTGAAAGATTATAATGTGTATTCCATAAATTCCTGGAGTCCTGTTTTTCACCAATGACTTCAGTACAGCTTGAACTTCTTCCTTCAGTACCACTGGTTCTTGATCATATACTACCTTTTGAAATGGATGAACATCGACCATTTCTTTTTGGTACAATGACTCTGTGTATACCTTCCGTCTTCTTTTGATGCTTTTTGTATCATTTAATGTTTTGCCCACAGAATCTTTCAATATTTCAAGTCCAGGCTTGAATTTTTTTCTTCAATTCTCTCAGTCGGAGAAATGTTGCACATGTTCTTCCCTTTAGGTTTGCTAACTTCAGGTCTTTGCACATTTCATTATAATATTTCACTTTTGTCTTCTCCAACTGCCTTTTGAAATCTTCTGTTTAGCACTTTTACTTCGTCATTTATTCCATTTACTTTAGCATCTCTACACTGGAGAGCAAGTTTCAAAGTTTTTTTCTGACAATCATTTTGGTCTTTTCATTCTGTCCTTGTCTAACAGCCTTTTGCTTTCTTCCTGTACGATGTTCTTGATGTCATTCTACAGCTCTTCTGGTCTTTGGTTATTAATGTCTAATGCTTCAAATCTTGAAGATGTCTCTAAATTCAGGTGGGATACGTTTAAGTTCATATTTTGGCTCTCATGGACTTGTATTATTTTTCTTCATTCAGCCTGAATTTGCGTATGACCAACTGGTGATCTGTTTGACAGTCGGCCCCTGGCCTGGTTTTGGCTGATGATATTGAGTTTTTTCACCATCTCTTCCCACAGATGCAGACAATTTGATTTCTGTATTCCATCTAGTGAGGTCCTTGTGTATAGTTGCCTTCTATGTTGTTTAAAAGGTATTTGCAATGAATCAGTAATGACACTGCACAATTCTGTTTTGCATTCTCCAGCATCATTTCTATCACCAACCAAGGCCATAATTTCCAACTCTGATCTTTCTTCTTGGTTTCCAACCTTTGCACTCTAATCACCAGTAATTATCAATACATCTTGACTGTATGTTTGATCAATTTCAGACTGAAGAAGTTGGTAGAATTCTTCAATTTCATCATCACTAGCTTTAGTAGTTGGTGTGTAAACTTGAGTAACAGTGGTATTAACTATTTTCCTTGTAGGCATATAGTTATCATCCTATCACGGACAGCACTGTACTTCAAAACCTTGAAATGCTCTTTTTTATTATGAATGCTACACCATTCCTCTTTAATTTGTCATTACTGGTACTATAAACCATATGATTGTCAGATTCAAAATGACCAATACCAGTTCATTTCAAATCACTAATGCCTAAGATTATCGATGTTTATACATTCTATTTCATTTTTGACAACTTACAATTTTCCTAGATTCGTACTTGGTACATTCCACGTTTTGATTATTAATGGATGGTTGCAGCTGCTTCTCCTCATTTTCAGTCGTGCCTCATAAGCAAATGAAGGCCTGAAACATTTACTTCCTTCAAGTCATCATGGTCAACTCTAATTTGAGGAGGCAGCTCATCCCCAGTCATATTTTGAGTGCTTTGAACCTGCGATGCTCATCTTCTGGCACTACATCTGACAATATTCTGGTGCTATTCATGTTTCCATAGTTTGGCACTATGACTAACAATGCTCTGCTGCTTAAGCTTTTCAGTGGCTAAGCATTCAGAACTATTTCCGCCTCTCCTTTTTCCTTCTCTGTCTTAGTCTGAAAGCTCTGCTGAAACCTGCCCACCATGGGTGACCCTGTTGGTGTTTAAAATACTAGTGGCCTAGCTTCCAGCAACACAAAGTCACCACAGTGCAACAAACTAATAGACGAGTGGTGGACATATCACATAGCCTTGGGAAAATGCTAATGTATACTCATGAAACAATGAGAAAAGGCAAATAATGTGACCCCTGGACCACACTTGAGGAACACTTTTGTACAGACTTATTCGCAATTTCTAATTACTGACTTGAAAGAACTCTGTATATATTAAAGAAAACCATCTTTGTTATGTTGCTGTTGTTAAGTGGCGGGGAGTCAGTTTCAACTCAAAGTGACCCTATATAAGGCTTTCAAGGAGTGGTTGGTGAGTTTGAACCTCTGATCTTGTAGTTTAAATGGACTGTAGGCTCTAGTGCTTATCCTACAGTGCCACAATGGGGCTGCATCTTTTGTTATACATGTTATAAATCTTTTTCAAAGTAAAAGCTTTGAATATTTGCTTCTGGTATTCTTTGCTTTGTTTTAGGGAAGCTGCACGGCTCCATACTCAATTGTATCACTTTCCTTTTATGGTTTTTTGATTCTGGGATGTATTTAGAACATGCTTTCTACTTCCAATAATATAATGCTATGTTGTTGTTGTTAAGCGCCATCAAGTCAGTTCCGACCCATAGCGACCCTGTATAGGGTTTCCAAGGAGCAGCTGATGAGCTTGAACCACTGACCCTGCAATTCAAACGGCTTTGCAGTCTGGTGCATTAACCCACAGCGCCACACCAGAACTCCTATACACCTATGCTTTCTTTGATAGTTTCATGTTTAAATGTTTGATCCATTTAGAATTTATTCTTGCTATAAATAAAAATGCAGAAATCAGTTTTATTTTCCCCCAAATAGCTAGTCAGTTATTCTAACACCATTTCTTGAATAACTCATTTCCCAATTTGTTATACTGCCTTCACCACACATTATATACATACTTATATTTGAAACATATTTAAATTCACTATTCTGTTTCATTAGTATCTCCTTCTATTCCTATGCTTCTTCCACATTGTTATAATTACTATTTTATCACATATCTTTGTTGTTGTTGTTGTGAAGTGCCATTGAGTCGGTTCTGACCCATAGCTACCCTGTATAGGGTTTCCGAGCAGTAGCTGGTGAGCTTGAACTGTCGACCTTGCAATTCAAACAGCTTTGCAGTCTGGGGCATTAACCCACAGCGCCACAACACCAGGACTACCACATATCTTTAACACTTGGTAAAAATGGTCTCTCTTCACAAATTCTTCTAATATTTCAAAAGATTTTCAGAAACCTTTGTATATTTATTCATTCAGAAAATTTTAGGATGATTTTATCAAATTCCAAAATAATTATGTTGGAATTTCATGATTGCATATAAATTGAAAGATCCATTTAGGAGAAAATTTATATTTTTTAAATTGAGCCTTTCAGCTGAGAATGAGACATTTTTCTATTTATCCAAATCTGCTCGGGTGTGTCTAAGTTTTAACATTATCTATTATATCTAGGCATTTTATACAAGAAATTATTGCCCACATGATTTTTTCTTCAAGTATACTTTCTAATCAGTTACTACCCATATTTAAAACAAAATCCAAACTATTGTTATATGAATATTAATTTTATAATTACAAGGAGTCCTGGTGTGGTGCTTTGGGCTAATGTGTCAGACTGCAAAGTCATTTGAACTGCAAGGTCAGTGGTTCAAGCTCACCAGTTGATCCTTGGAAACCCTATACAGGGTCTCTATGGGTTGGAATCGACTCAATGGCACTTAATAACAACAAGAAGTTCAGAATTTATTATAAACATGTTAAGTGCTGTCACGTCAGTTCTGACCAATAGCGACATTGTATAGGGTTTCCAAGGAGTGGTGGTGAGTATGAACTGCTGACCTTGTGGTTAGCAGTCTAGGGCTTGTCCTATACCAAGACTCTAAAAATTCATTATGGCAAAATAAATGTTTTTTAGTTAAAAAACACTATTTGCCCAACTATTAGCCTGAGATTTGCAACCTTCTCTTCTTGTACCTTTCCATCATATAATATGGGCCACAGACGTCAGTAATGACTGGTGGTACCTGGAGGTGAACTTCTAGAGACTTGTCACAGATGGCCTTTAAGCAGGTGGCATTGATATTGATATCATCTTCTCCTGAGGTATCATACAGAACAACCAGTGGAGTGTCCGCTTTCTCGAGTATTTCCACTGCAAAGATCTTTCCACAAGTTAAAGATTCAACTACTTTCACCAAATCAGGATCATCACTTAGAAATTCCAATCCTAAAAAATAGCGAGTATTTTAATCTCAATACTTAATTAGATCAATTATTTTAAGATAGAGTGATTTTATCTGTTTTGATCATGTATTATATAATTAGGAATCTACTATACAGTACTTCAGTCAGAACCGACTCCACGGCACACAACAACAATACAGTTCTTCAATTTTAAATAGAAGCTTTGATTTACAATTTTCCTTATGTTAATTCTTTAGATTAAAAATTATTTGGTATTATGGGTGCCTTTTCAAATGATTGCACTACAGCAGACAATACTAAAATAAGAAGAACAGTTGGTGACCAATCAGAAATTCTACTCTAGGAGAAATACCCTTTACTTTATGTGTACGTATACACACGAGGAGACTTCAATTTGTGGAAAAATTCCATTATCATTCAATTCCATTTTTCCATGAACTTCATGAAGCCCTTTATACTTAAAACAAAAGATTAATACATAAGAAAAGCTATCAATCAATTATTTTGCCAGTCATATATTTGTCTGTCTTCCTAAGATTCTATCTTTGACTTTTTTCATTTCTAACTAAGTATCTACAATTGTGTTTTCCTTATAAAATGAATTCACATTTATTGAAAATTGAGATAAACACTTTTTCTTTCCTTTTAAAAAGTACACAATGATGACCTTGAGAAAACCAAAGAAACTTGTGACAAATCAAAGCTGAATGTCTACTATAATACAAGTACCAAGTAAATTTTATTGTAGTTCAAGTACTATTTAAAATTCTTTGAAAACTGAAATTCCATGACAACTCTAAGTTAAATCTATTACCCTGATTAAAAGTAGCTCATTACTTCCCCAATGGCACTAAAATGCTTATTTCTATAAGCTGAGATTCAGACTCTTATAAACTTCTCTTGTTCTGTTCTCCAGGCATAATTTATAGCTTTTCTCAAGCCTAAATTTTGTCATAGGCTCTTGATAAGTTCTTTTCAAAACCAATTCCTATGAGCTTCTGAAAGAACAAAATTACTTGAGCTGTATCTTACAGATAGAGTCAAACCGAACTCCTCCAACATAAGAACTCATCCTTGCTGGAAGAAGGTATTCCTTCACAGAGCTAATGTCATGAAAGAATTAGGATCATTCACTGAGTTTAGCTCAAGCTCTCATCCTGTGATCCGTATTTCAATGCTTTTTCTCATTATTAACGTGATTGCCGCATGCATTCCTCTAGTCTTCCTTAAGGAGGAAAGAAATGAACGGTGTGCAGCAACTCTGCATATGACATATGAACTTGAGCTTGGCTGTACCAGGTGTGGCACTTGTAAGCATTGAGTCCATCTCAGTAAAAAAAAAAGAAGCTGAAAATGCCCTTGCAGCCTAATAAAACAAATGCATCAAACTGGTCAAATCCCATGATACAGAACAAAGAAAAACTTGGAGATGGGCAATAGGACCACATTTTTATAATGATTATATTTTACGAAGACATTAAACAAGAATTTATGTATACATCTGAAGAAATAATAGTAAAATACACCGAGATACCTAGTCCATTTTAGTATTTAACAATCTAAATGTACAATGCTTGTAACCTATCAAGATGGACAGGGTGTTAAAAAAAAAAAAGTTCCTCTTACCTGCTAGCTTGCACTTTGTGGCTTGGAATGGAAGTGAACAGAACTTAGGATTCAATTTGTATGCTTTGCTCTTTTCAACATTTTCACTAAAACCATAGTCAACATAGCACACCTAATGATTAAAACAAGCAAATAAACAATTTTTAGGCTCAAATAAAATTTAAAAATTTTTTACTTCTTTATAAAAAATCATTTGAGATAGCTGACTCCATACAGCACCTAGGAACAGCAAAGAATAAAGAAGGAAAAGAAAAATCATTTGATACAGTCAATTAGTTCCATTTTATTCAACAAGTAGCATTTTATAGTAGGACCACAGCTTTTCTTCCTAGTGTAGGGCACCACAGCTGGAAAATGCTAGGTGAGGGACCCTGGTGTAGCCCAGAACAGACCAACAGGGGCTGGGTCACATGGAGCCAGGTCCACTCCTCAGCTGTATCCCTTGGCCCATGGGAAGAACATGGGTAAAACTATGCTCAACTGGGCAGTCTTGTCGATGCCAGGTTCTAGCCAGCACACTTGTCTGCGTCTGTCAGCCCTCACTGCCCACCTTCATTAACATCATGCCTACATCACTGCATTCTTTCTTGGTTTCATGCTTTCCACCCATTCTTTGGGCAGCAGTATTTGTTTCTGAAGGAGGCTTCCCTCTGCTGGATAAGGGTAACTAAAAAACACTGCTATAGGTCCAACCACTCTGGAAAGAAATATGGCGCTTCCTCAGAAGAAATACCTTATGATCCAGCGATTCCTCTACTTGGTATTTACCCACAAGAAATACAAGCCATAACACGAGTAGATATATGCACACCCATGTTCATAGCAGCACTCTTTACAATAGCAAAAATATGGGGGCAGTCTAAGTGCCCATCAACTGAAGAATGGATAAACAAACAAACATACACACAATGGGATATTATGCTACCTTGAAGAACAAGGAAGCTGTAAGCCATCACATAACATGGATGAACCTTGAGGACATTATGTTGAGTGAAATTAGTCAGTTACAAAAGGTGAAATACTGCACAGGACCACTATTGTAAAAGACTAAGAAAAATAGCCCATACTAAAGGAGGGGGGGCGGATTATTTGCTGGTTACCAGGATGTGGGGGGGGGTAGAGTGAGGAGAGGGAGGGAAAGATGGAGCACAGGGTAAGGAATAGACACAGGATAGTATGGGGAGGGGAGCAATACACAGAAGGGGGAGGGGAATGAAAGAACAAGGCAGACAGGAGAACAGTTAGGCAGGTTTGCATGGGCTAAGTGGAACAGAGGTAAATAACGATATAAGCACAATCTTGGAAAAACAGGGATCTGGGATACAGGGATTGAGACATGGTTGGAATGGGCAAAAGGGGGGAAATAATGTTAAGATGCTTGGATGTCTTCTGAATCTTGGTTTCCCTGGCATGCCATTATAAAATAGACATTTGAGGGGGGAGAGAAAGGAATAGCCAGAAATATCACCATAGAAAGCTTATAAATCTGTCTTCTGCCTATAACTGATTGGAATACCTAAAATGGGGCTACAACGTGCCCAGTGAAGGAGGCTTCCTACAGAGCCTTTGCACTGCATAAGACCAAAGGTGGAATCCTGAACCCCATCCAGAATCTTCTGAGGTGGGAAATGTCCACTTGAAAGGACAAACAGACCAGTCTGGAGCAGCTAGAAGAACAGAAGATACTTCTTGAAAGAAAGACTGGCAGGAAAAATCAAAACAATAAGGGCAGTCTGATTGACTACTACAAGAACAAGCAAACTGTTCCCCAAGTGTTCACCATCAAGGCAAGTGGTCAGAACCCCTCAGGGCAAATCCCCTTCCAAGACTAAGATTCAAGGGGAATACACAAACAGGCATGTGGTCTGGCTGGTGACCACGTTGGTCACCGATAAGGGGAAGTGAGGGAAAACAGCAATGAAGCTGCGAGCTAAGCCCTTCAATGTTCAACAGACTTCTGTAAACCCTGGTTGGCCAGCAGTGTGGCAAGATCTGGGGACTTCTGGGCCCAGAGTCAATGACATAGCCACAGAGGATTAGAGTGGAGAGTGAAGCGTCCAGTTGATAAGAAGAGAGGGCATATGCATAAGAACATCCACACTTGCAGATAATACCCACTTGACCTGGCTTCAATGGCTGGATGATCAGAACTCAACTAGAAAAGAAAGAAGGGGAAAATAAAAAAGAGTGATACAATTTGATGAACTTGACATACACCTGTGGAAGCAGTAGCTCAAAAGAGGGAACAAATCTTTACAGCGAGGATCATTCCCACCCCCTCAATACAAAGAGTAGGCAGGGATGAGCAACTTGGACATTGGCTACCCAAAATGGGGGAGAGGGCTACAAAGGCAAGAAGTGACTGGCTTACAAGCTTTCAAGAGGGAACCTAGATCCAGAGGGTGCGGAGAAGGGTCAAATCTCCACTGAGTAGTATCCAATCTATCTGGGCGGGGCTGATGAAAGGAAATGGGGATAGGACTCATGTGGTACAATAGTGGCTAATTGCTATCAGGACTGACTGTGAGGGTTGGAAATGTAAAGGTAGATATTTTGTAACAAGAGGAGGGGAGAGGTTGACTTTGCAGTCCAGGAGCGGAGGTCCCTGGGGCCATCAAGGGACAAGAGTGGAGTGTGGGACCCAGAGAAGCAGTAATGCCAGAGATGGAGGCAGAGATGATGACATGGAGAGATGGAGTGGCTGGGGACTCCAGACTCAGAGAGGTAAGCGGGTCTGTGTGTTGACGACATAGGGGCAGGCTTGTGCGGTATACTCTTTGGTTGTTTGATGATGCATGAAGGGGATTGTAACCATGGAAATGAAACGTTAGAATGAATGTAAAGCTAGTGTTCTCCCATGTAATTATCACATCATTCACAATAAAACATTAAAAAAATACACAAAACAACATTGTTATAAAATCAAGGAAACCTTCATTAAACAAAAAAGATTAAAATGTGAAACAATTCTCAGCATATCTTCCATCTAGGTCTACAGACGTCGGAAGACAGTGTTTCCATTGCTCTTATCCTTCTCCCAAAGAAGTTTTTGCTCTTCAATTTACACTCGATCAAAACAGCAGCTTTAGCATCCTCATGTTCTTTTGAAATGTTGAGTTTTGGGAACAAGAAGTCTGAAGGGGCAAGTTCAGGGCTGTAGGTGGATGGATGAAAATTTCCCAAAGATATTCTCATAGGACAGCCCTGGCTACACTCGAAACGTGAGCGGGTACATTTTCATGATGGGAAAAAAGAATTGGCATGATTTTCTTGACTTTTTTCTCACCAGTGCTGCTTTGAATTTCTTAAAACTTCTTCCTAATAAGCCCGTTATTGCCCTGTTTCCTTCAAGAAAATCTACCAAGATGACTCCTTGGGAATGCTAAACTGTCACCATAACCTGCTGAGCTGACCTCTCTGCCTTGAATTTACCAGCAGATGTCCTCAAAAGCCAGTGTTTTGATTGTCCCTTTCTGTGAAAGCACCCTGACAAGTCTAAGACAAGTGTTATTACTGAGAGAACTCGTCTGCAGCCATGCACTGGATCACAGAGATACACTGAAACCTGTTTTGTTTGGAATAAACCTGTGCATGTATGAACTGGAGCCCACGTAGCAATACTTTTTGATTTCCCCTCATGTTTTTCAGATTCTAAATCCCCCAAAGCAGCCTTTGTGATGGTCTGCTCTCAGCTGCGGTGCATCAACCAGAAAGTGTCTTGGCTTCACAAAGCGCCACAGCTGAAAGCAGCAGTGATGTCATGGACGGACAATGTGGAACCCTCACTATGGAAGCAGATGCTTCTGTTCTGGGAGGTGTGTGCAGCCAATTCAACAAAAGGCCCCTATCTGCTGGGCAAAGTGCTTTGTGTCTGCAGAAACCTCTATGCCTCCTCCTAGCCATCAGCACTTATCAATGAGTCTGGTTACTGTATTTAGGGTATTTGCAAAACCTATATTATGTAGTTAAAACAAGCTACAGAAACGTAGTGCCTCTTTCTTAATTTTTGAGAAAAATAAAATCTAGAAACATTAAGATGTGGGTTTAAAGTGAGGGGAAATGTTCAAAGTCTAATATCTAATTAAGATAGGTGATGGTTTTTAAAGAAAAAAAAAAGTGGGTTCTATTGGTCTCTCCATGTGCGGAAGAAAGAAAAGTGATGAAAACTGAAGGTGCTTGGAATCAACTAGTCCAATGGACCAATGGAGCAGGTGAACATCAGTCACCATGACTCTGAGACCAGAAGAACTAGATGGTGCCCAGCTACTACTACCAACTACTCTAAAAGGGATCACATTAGTGGAAGAAAATGGGGAACAAAAGTACAATTTATATATACATATGTATATTTACATATATATATATATATATAAAGATCAGGTTTCCTAGTCAGAAAGAAGTTTGAGGAACCTGACATTATGGCCTCTGACCACCCTTCAGGTCTGGCACGGTACTCACCCTTGTGGCCCAATTTGTAGTCAATCAATAGATACGTGTTGGAGAGACAACAATATTCCAAGGTATACTCACCATGGAATGGTCAATCATTCAAGATCAAAAGGGCAACATTTACATATGGACAAAGTTGAGAAGGAGTTGGAATATGGATGAAACGGAAATAGGAACCACAGAGAAAACATGGAATAAGTGTTATTGCATGGAGGGGATTGCAATCATTGAGAAGAAACAAAGTGCATAATTCGATGGATGTAAATGTGATGATTTTGTTTGTAAATCTTCACTCAGTTCACAACACAAAAGTTAAAACCAAACAAAAAACCAGTGGGTTCCTGACTTACAGGGCAATGGCATGGCTAACAGGTACCAAGCAACACAGGGGCTGGTTCTTTTTGCTTTCTGCATGAAAATAAAGTCTACAGGCTTCTTAGTATCACGGGTCTGGTACGAAACATAGAAAACAAAAGTCCTGCAGAGCAGAAAATGTAACAGAACAAGAAGAGACAAATCACCTTTGTGAGTGGAGCATGACTCTAGAAAGAAGGCTCAATTGATTCAAGGGCCTGTGAGGCTGTATGTCCGTTATCAGAAAAGACCATCTCCTCCAGCCCACATCTTGACTCAATGTTCCTGTGGGGCCAGATCCTCACGGGG